ATGATAATATTAATAATAATATGTGTATATAATATGATGCCTGAACAGATATACATGTATACACAAAGATATTACACATTAATATTGCTATAATGTGAACATGTGTCATATATTCAGCCTGAACTAGGTTTCTCTGTGACCCTCTCTGAATTATCCCGTAGCACTTAATATTCCAGCTTACGTTTCCTTTGTTTTTATAGTATTATTACTCCCGTCAGTAATACTCGTGGCGCAGTAAAATGCCCGTGTGCTCCTGTAAACCTGACACCTTGCTCTTTTCTCTCTCTCCAGCATTCAGGCAGGTTGAAATCTAAAAGATGTCGTCAGGCGCTCTCTTTCCAAGCTTGGTGAGCGGCTCCAGGGGAAGCTCCAGCAAGTACCTGGTGGAGTTTCGTGCCGGTAAAATGACCTTGAAGGGGAACGTCGTGACACCGGACAAACGCAAGGGCACGGTGTACGTCCAGCAGTCCGACGACTCCCTGATCCATTTCTGCTGGAAGGACAGGACGTCTGGGAATGTGGATGATGTGGGTGTCTGAGATTGCATACACTTCAAAACATCCGAGAACAGGCCATCATTTTAGTTCTAGCGCGGTATCATTTGTCGTATCCCGGGTTTGGGTCAGGACCTGTTGTTGTGTTTTGTTCCCTGTCTGTCTCTTCCCTTGTTTCTGGTCATCTCTCTTTTTAAAAAAGGTTCAAATATCCCCCAAAGATGTAATATTTGTGGGGTTCTCAGTATCAGTGTCAGCCCAACGAACTCAGGCTTTTAATGTACAGTCTGATAATGATATAGTGGATCAATAATAAGTAAGAATTGTCACTACAATCTTTACTAAGTGGGACATTTTACACTTAAAAAATAAAGTCAGTGTTCTCTGGTGGACAAACAAACAACTGGAGTCTTTTTATCGGCCAACGAATACGAGGATACAATATATTTGCAATAAGTTAACATTTTCACAGCCGACGTGTTTGTCTAGCTTTAGTCACATGAGCTTTAGGATGTCAGTGATTGTACTGGCAGTGAAATAGA